TCTTATTACAAACTAGCAAGTGGAATAAAGACACTCTATGACCTAAGGTAAAACACAATTCAATGAGTTCAGAGGATCAACGTACTCGTCGAGTGGCTTCCCAGAAGAAGAAATCAAACTGATGAGGGCTCAAACTGCTCAGCAAATTTGGGGGTGGAAAGAACTGAAGAAAGGGCGAATTGAAGACGGGTCGGTTTCTTGTTGCAGTGATGGGGGCGATCAAATGCCGCCGGACCAGGTGGCGCGGGCGCGGTATGTGATGGTTCTTGGACCACCTCCGGCGGCGGAGGAGGACTTCGTGGTTGAGCTTGAGAGGCACAGATGGCCACGAGTGGAAGAGGGAGGAAGAGAGAGAGAGGCGTTTGGTGGGCTAATGGGTCGGGTTTCTGTGTTCCGGTAGGTCCAGGCCTGTTTCTACGTGGGTATTAGTGGTCTGGGCCGGAAATCCTGGTAATGGGCTGAGTATTGGGTTGGGTTTCCTCTTTGTTATGAGGGCAATTTTAATTTAAAATTGCACATCTTTTCACTATAAACTAGTGCGTGCTATGCACGAGAAAATATTATTAAATAATAATTACAAATTAAAGAGGAGAGTAACCAATATTAACTAATAATTATAAAGTAAAAATATAGGGTAACATATATATGTAAGAAGAATCTAAAATATTCTATGTAAAACGTAATTCTCATTCAACAGAAAATAGTATAAATAACGCAAAAAATCAAGTTTTCAGTATATACACTAACACAACCCACATGCACGAAATCGCTGATTGGACGATCTAAATCGGTCAAAATAATTAAAGGTCGTGAATAATCCATTTCACCTATAAAATACAAAATTTTCTGGCTTTTTAAGGTTTTCATAAGATCCACCTGCACATTTTTTTTTGTTTTACCTCAACTCTATTCCGTTCGATTATCCCCCCTATATATTAATACAGAATACGCTGAGCCTACGTGGCTGATTCTGGGGCTTCGGAATCCTATGTGGCAAAATTACATGCTTCGTTATTAGACTTGAGTAAATTTTGATTTAATTCCAAACAAAAAAATAATTAGGTTCGGATTACCATAAATATGTTGATTATTTATGGTCATGTTACATGTATTAATTGTAATTTAATATCATTCCTTATTATAACGTGTCCGTGCTGATAAGAAACTTCACCAGAGCCGGGTACGTGACGAGAAACTTCACCAGAGCCGGGTAAATATATAATTGTATTTTATATATACTATTGAATTGCATATATATTTTAAAAGTTAATAACTTTTATATTTTTTATCAGTTTTACATATGTAATATATCAAATTAATCTTCTTTTGATGAGTTTCGATTTAACATCCATATTGTATGTATAAAAAATAATTTATATTTATCTTTATAACAATAATAAAAATTACTTTTAATATTAATTAGAAAAATAAAATTGTTTATAACCTAATATATTTATATTTCAAGTAATTATATGATATAAGTTATAAAAACTAATATAATATAACACATGTAAGTCATAAATAACACATATCATTCCAAAATATATAGTAATATATTTATTTATTTTTTTGTAAAAAAAGTAAACTAAATTTAATATAGTTTTCTCATTAATTGTAAAATTTAAGAATATTTTTTTAACAAGCACCCGTGTAATACACAGGTGTTGTACTAGTGAAGAATGATTCACAAATTAACCTTGTAAATAAATGTTTTTGTTTTCAATTTACGATACATATTTTCAGAAATCACGTAAAAAACAGTTGATTTTATATTTTTTTTGTACGAAATTCACTTAAAAATATCTCAACTCTATTTCGTTCGATTATGAATAATGATTCACAAATTAACCTTGTGAATAAAATATTTTTGTTTTCAATTTACGATACATCTTTTCAGAAATCACGTAAAAAACGTTTGATTTTATATTTTTTTGTACGAATTTCACTTGTTTGTCAACCAAACAAATTCTTGGATTTGTATTGTGTCTTTTATTTGAATTTCAGAAATTAATACAAATAAAAATTTATCTCATAAATTTAAAATGCACGTGTACAATTGAGAGTTTTCTCAATTTTGACTGCAATTTTTATTTTATTAAATGTTTATCTTATCATTCTGTTAAAAAATTGATTAGCAATGCATATCTCCTATTCAACAAATTTTGATATTTATCTTAAATACATATTAATTATGGTTCACCGTAAAAAATATTTTTTTGATCACGATCGTATCTTGTAACTTAAAAATATATTTTGACAAATACATGTATAGATTTGTTAAATTCTGTTACTAAATGCAGCAGCAGAGTTACCAAATGCAAGTCAATGTCATGTACGTAAGATAAAAAAAAAAATTAGATTAAATTATATGAAACTGAGATTTTTATAGATGAAAAAATAGTATTGTATGACATGAAAATCAAGATTTTCTAAATTATGAATATTAAATGTTTTCAATTGGAGAATATTATAATACACTAAATTACACTTTAACTTATACTAAAGTGTCTGAAAATTTACATAACACTTCATTTAAGGAATGATTAGATGTTTGACGATTTTGGGGGTTGAATTGTTGTTTTTTTAGGACTTAAAAATTTTATGGTTGATTTTGAAATTTGATTTTTTTTTTT